GGGCGCCGCTCTCCGCGCGAGGTCCCGTCGCTTCCGCGCTGCGATTGCGGCTTTCAACGGAGCCTCTCGGGGCCATGCGTGGGCCCCGCGGTGCTGGGGACGCCATTGCAGAGACCGAGCTCCCCCTGCGGCAGCGCCTGGGCGTCTCGAAAGCAGAAGGGAGCCGCTTTAATCAGCAGCGCCCCGGCGCGTTTCCTCGGAGGCTGTTGAGCTCCCCTGCAGGGCTCGTGCAATGAAGTGTCGCACGAAAGGGGCTCAAAGCCACTTTTTCGCCTGTGGTCCCTGTGGTGGAGACTCCTGGAGCTCCGTCGGTCTCTGGAACTGCCTCTGCTGTGATGAATTGCACAAATCCTGGGTTTTAGCACCAACTTGAGCCAGGGCAGCTTCAGAAGCAGCCCCGGCCTCACAGAAAGGAGACGGGCAGCGTGGGCCAGGAGTCCGCAGAGCCCTGGAGCACCTGCTAGGGACTATTTATTCCACATCATGGTAAATTTGTGGAAAAACATCAAGTTATCGATAACGGTGTGAAATAATTTATGTCAAGCGTGTTTGTGGATGCAACATGGAGTAACTCAAGTTACTTCATGCTAGTAGTAGCAAATTGATGGGCGGAGAAACGTGGTTTCTCAGGGATAAAAATAGGCCCCGGCAGTTACAGCAACTGTTGGGTTTTCTGCCTTCCTCACCTGCGGGGCTTTGTAGTGGCTTTAGATACTCTTATCTGCAGTCCATGTTCTGCAAAGTAACTCCTCAACGATGCCATTAAACTCTCTGTCACGCCAAGGGTTTCTAGACACAATGTTTCCTGCACAGTTTTTCGCAACAATTTAAGACCTGTTGCTTCTGCATCTAGAGGAACCCTAGGCCATAAATAAAATCCAGGTTCTTTGCTTCTTGTTGCTAAATACTTGTGCTGGCTTTAATGGGATACATTCACAGGAACATGTAAATAGCTTTTATTTATTAATTTACTTAAATTTAAGTCCACCAGGTGGCAGGAGTAAAAAATCTAGGAAATACCAGTCCATTTTAGGTGCAGCTTGATTTCATTAAACACTGAAATGTGAACTTTGCTTCCTGGCATTAAGATGAAGCATGAATGGAGTATACGAAATGAAATGAAAGTATATGAAAGTAGCTGCAGTTCTAGCTGTGACACTGTTCTCCAACACAACTGGGAAGCTTTTAAGTCATTTAGCATTTTACCAATAATATTGTACCTACTTTAAGGAAATTCCAGATGTCAGATTTTCTGTGTTTCTCCATTTTCCTGTCATTACCACTGCTCCTTATATGTCACAAAGTTGTGAAAAATGTCAACAACTTCTCTTGGCAGGATTCATCCTTTCCAACTGTTAGCCAACTCTGAAATTGTATCTTGGTGTGTATTTGAATAGGATAAAAGAAAGATACAGAAAAGCCAGTAAAGTCAAGGGTACATGTAGATAATCAGAGTGCAGCGTGTAAAACACAGTCACTTTTTATATATACCAAAGACCAGAAGAAATATTTCATTTATTTAAAAATACATATTATTTGTTTGTGAAAAAAATACAGTGACGTTTACTGGCAACAATGTAACCGTGTTCATACAGAAACCTGGCTTGGAAGCAGGGCGTTGCTGAAAGGCAGCACTTTTACCCCAAATTTCCTGTGGGCAGGCAGAGCTGTGCGAGCCCTGGGGAGCTCAAAGCCCGGCTGAGAGCGGCCTCCAGCACAAATTTCAGGCTAAATCCCAGCAGGCAGCTCCGGTGTTCCCGGGTTACCCAGCGAAAGCTGGTCTGGAGCCCAGCCTCAGGGCTGCCCTCGCACAGAAACGCAGGGTTGGCCATGGCAAGAGCAGGAAACAACGGACATTTCCTGGAAGTAACGAGGATATTAAGGGAAGGGACAAAGTGTGCTCAGTTTTTTACATAAGTCTTGAAGAGATGTCAGATGCATTAGGCAAGTGTCAAGATTATAGAAGCAATATAAGGAATATAAGCAGGAATCTTCAGTAAGTATAACGTGAGGGAGATGTTAAAGTAGAAGATATTAGATGCCATGGGCTTATTAGCAGAATATCAAGCTAAACCAAAAAAAAAAAAAAAGGCAGTACATTTACAACAGAATACGGTGCCGCGTTAACAGAATGAAACCTGTCTTCTCTGCAGTGGTGAGGTGTCCTCACTGCGTGCATACACTCACTTAGCAGCCAAGAAACAGCAGTGTCACCAGCAGCTATGCAAGAGAAACGGTGTGTGAGCTCATGCTGATCCTGCCATGGGCTGTCTACGCTGCTGCTTGAACCAGAAAACAAAATCATATTCCAAGAGAAATTAAAACAATAAAAGCTGAAAGCTGAAGTCAATGTAAAGTGCTATGACTGAGAATATTGCAAAGCAAAGGCAGGATTGATTAGGTTAAGAATCTCCTCTTGTTCAAAGCTAACTCTGGGGAAATCACAAAGTGCCAGACCAAAAAAAATCACAGCAAGATGCTCAATGGGCATTAGATTCCCACTGGTTTGGGGTCAGGAAAACCGTCAGTATTAAAAAAAAAAGGCCTCTCAAAATGTATTTAGTATTTTAAATTAAGAAAAGTGATTGAATATCTGAAAATTCTTGCAAAAATAAAAGAGAATTCACTGGAAACTCCGGACAAGGTTAAAACAGAGGTAGCTTTAATGACACTTCAGACTGAAGTAAAAAACATACGGAGAATGATTTATGCTTACCAGTTCAAAATAATACAGTCTTAAAACTTGTGTAAACATATAGCATCTTGACAGTATCTTAGAAACTGATGGTAGTCAGTAAATAACTTCTCCTGATGCTTCATCTCACCAATATTCTTAGTATTACAGAGTCTTTCATTTGATTGTTTACTAAGTGAAATCAGAGAAGTTAAATGTTTGAGCTCCTCTTCTCTGGATAAAGAAACCCTGACAAAATTGGCTGAGTAGTTTTTAATTTATCTCGCAACAAAATAATGATGATAATATAATTGTTTCGGTGCTTTTCATGCTGCTTTACATCTTCTGACTTCAGCCACACAGGTGGCTATTAGGCCACTCACAAGATGAATTTATGTATCTTAAAAAGGAGTTTACTCAAATGGCCTTTCGGGTTCAGGCAATTCAGTTAATTAAAATAATAATTATTATTATTATAAAAAAATAGAGAACAAAAAGAAATAAAGCAAGAATCCAAAAATAAATATGTTGAAATCAAGAAAGATAAGGATAGAAGACTAAATTAAATTAAAATCAAAAAGAAACATTTGTGACACAAAATAAAAAATTGTTCAAGTAGAGCAAGAAATGAGGAAAAGGTACATGTAGTTCATATAGAAAAATAATTTAAAAATCTTTGGTAACAATGAATTCTTCCGTTTTATACAATCCTTGAAATCTAAAAATAGTCTTCTATTATTTATGTAACTTTTATAATTTATTTCCTAATCTACTTCATTAAAAAAAGCTTACATAAGGCAGAAAATAAGAAGTCAGAAAGATATGAAGAAAATGAGTGTATCTCTCTTATTTGAAGAAACAAGTATTAGAACTGTGTTCTAAAATACATTTCTTAATAATTATACCTTGCTAATCTGCTCACATAATACCAAATTTTCCGGATAAGAAGTTTGTTTTTCCTTGGGAAGTTGTATTCTTTCCGTCACCTGCTTTTGAAGGCATGTCCATAGTAACATATCTAATCTGAAAACCACCAGCTGTCACTGAGGCATCTGTTAAAAACTTCAAGGTCATAACATTTCCTAGGACAAGAAAAAGAAAAGCAAGGATTACATTTTTGGGTGGCATAAAAACATGGTATTTCAGTTATTCTTAAATTTCTCTCTTGCATTCCTGAGGCAACTGTGTTTCCAGGAGGGAGTCTCCATGCTGTGGCATGGATGGGCATCCTGGAGAATGTGAAACACTGAGGTCTGCAGAGGAATCCACCTGCTCGGGCTACCTCTGGGCTGGGAACAGTCTTTCAGGCCTGTAGAAAACCAGGCCCATTTTGGACCCGCTCAACTCAGTCACCCAATTTGAGAGAACACCTGGACATGTGAAACAGGCCTGGAGCCTCAGGCAGCTCCTGGTGACTGAGGCCAGCATGGGCTGGGAGGGCAGGGATAGGACAAGGCTCCTTTCCTCTTCTCTTACAACTGAGGGCTATGAGCACAGCAAGCAAAGCAAAGGCTCAAGTTCAGATTAGCTTCAGCTCAGAATTCACTGGAAGATGAACAAAAAACTGCATTGGAGCTCAGTAAAATCCCATTTTCCATGTATTAAGAGCCCCACAATTATTTTTCAGGTTCTGCCTTCTTTATTTGCATGGACTAATCCAACTGATTTCCAACAATCCATTATGGAAAAGAGTGGCATAATCTGGCCTCACAAAAACCATGATGTTCTGTTTGCATTCTGTTTCTTTCACCATGATTTCATTCCCATTCTCATTCCTGTTGATTTTTATCAATGGTCTCTCTCCATTGTAGTGTATTTTCCTTGTCTCTTTTAACTATTTAAGCAATGGAAAAAGGCTTTATTGTCAGTTCCACTTCTTTAGAATTACTTAGGATGGTTTATTACTGGGCACTAGAGAGACTGAAAACAGAATTTGTAAGCAAATGCTCATAGTTCTCAGATGATTTATATGATGCCTCATTCTAGGAAGTATTTCTTCTGATGCCAGTGATTCCTCCTCCACTTATTTAAAAGTAACTGTGTTGATGAAAGAGTACACCAGCAGTTTTGAATAGCAGCTTATGATATGCTGGCTACAACTTAGAAAGCAGGGAGAAGAGATGATCTGGGCTGACTTTTTGCCATAAAAAGTGCAAATAATATTACCTGTGCTAATGATATCATCTGGCAACTCATCTCCACAGAACCTGAAAAAAAATATAAATGGTTATGAGTGAGTGACACAGCAAACATGCCACATCCCTGACCTCTAGTGATGATGGTGACTCTCATTCTGTGCTCTACTTTGAGAGAGCTCTGAGTCATGAGGTTAAATGGGTTGTAGGCGTTCAGTCTATCTGATTTTCTACATGTTAAAGTAATTCACTCAAAGATCTTTCTCATTACAGTAAAATTCAGGGGAGAGAAGGCTGCATGAAACACAATTTTCAATATAGGAAGGAAGTCAATGTTGTAAAGAAAGAAAAAACTATTTTACACAGCATTAAGGCAAGGAACAATGGCCCAAAACTGAGAAAGCAAGAACTTCATCACGAAAAATATTAAAAATGATCTCTAAGGAGAAACAAATGTAATATATCCTTGTTTTGCTCCACATGATTTGTAGAGAGGACATGAAAAGTGGCAGGAATAGAGAAGCATTTTTATCTCTTTTTCTAGTTTATTTGTTGTACTAGAAAATGGAGATACTTTCTACTAAAAACTGATTGCTAAAAACATGAAAAAGATTATATTAAAGAGAAGAAGGTAAGAATTAAGCAGAGGGAAACTACTTTAAATGTTAGAAGAACATAACATTTGCTCTGTTCTATTTTCTTAGAAAATATTTGACTTCTGTAGCTGATAATAACTACAACTTTACTAATAATTTAACACCTCTTCTTCCTTCCTTTCTTTAAAGTAAATACAGAAGGTTATTTGAGACTGATAGTTCCTCCTGAAAATTATTAGCAGGCTTATTTAAAACTAAAAAGTCCCGCATGTCTTTTTTTCATGTAATTTGACAAAACAGAAAAGGGCAAAGAATAATTTTGATTTTTTTTTTTTTGGATTTTAAAGCTTTGTTATTAAGCTGGAATTACTTTACCTGCCCACAAAGCCATTGATATCGTCATAGCTATCATAGACTTCCAAAAAATCAGCCATACAAGCAGTGTCATCTTCAACATCAAACTCCAGAAACTGCAGATGAATCCGCTGTCCATACTTTACTCTAATATGCCAGTAGCAAATTTGATCATTTTCGTACTCATTTGGGTAGCCTGGTGACTTAAAAACATGTTTTGAATCTGTGAAGACTCCACCACACTCTTTTCCTAAGAGAAAAATAAAAACATCAGAGTTCAAGTATTCATTCTGGATATGGCTGTGATTCAATTCTTTGTGCGCTTTGACTCAGTAGATCTCTTTGTAGAAAATCACACAGGAATACCCACAGAAATATCACTGTTCATATATTTAAGCACTCAGCATTCAGAAGAAATGTCAATTATTCCTCACTTGTGGGAGCAAATGCTTTGGAAATGAGGCACATACAAAACTCACTAACTCAGAGGAAAAAAGAGAGAAAACTTCCATTGACTTAAGTGGACTTTGGGCCAGAACTAAGAGTTTTATATTAAGACATCTGGTGTTTCTAACTCTGCTACACTGTAAATTTACAGCTGTTCTTGTAAATTACCCTCACCTTCACTTTAACCCTTTTTTTTTGTTGTTCCTCCAAATACCTCTTTAAAATGTGTCCCTCCAAAAAGCCAATAAAGGTTAATGACTACATCTATTTTGCTTTACTGCTTTTATTGCTGCAGCTCTTCCCCCTTGGCAAGGTCTCCCTTGGGAAGAACAGCATGCATCCCTGCCAGACTCTGTGTCCATTTGAGTCTTACCTCGTTGGCAGGACCAATTCATTCGGGGGCCCCACACTGTCTGACTTCAACCTTGCCATTGTTCCCTAAATCCAGGATGGGAATTTATGGGAAAGAAGGTACTTCCCAAGGGAGATTTGAAGCACTTTCGTTAGGAGGCTTAAGTTGGATAATAGGAATAACCCTTTTCGTTCGCACACTGTCTACAAGTCGTGCATTTTTCAGCACCAGGACGCACGGAGGATGGCTGTGATTTCAAACCTGTAGGCAGTTCCACACTTTGTCGGACCCTTGAGCATCCCTAAGGGCACAAGCACCACTCAATCCATTCAACTCTGCCTCCCCAGGCTACAGCCTCCCACCTGCACTCAGGCTCTGCCAGCTTTGGAGGCAGGCTGTCATGGAGCTGGAATACATATCCCTATAGTGGCAGAGGCTCAAGCCACCTTCTGAGTGCTGGCAGTTCTGCTTTCCTTTTGTCCTCTAGCCAAGCCATTTGCAAAGCAATCACCTTCCATGCCAGAAGCAGGGCTCACAAAGGAGGAATTGAGGCGGGCCATGCAGCGGTGGTGATGAGCGCAGTAGCCTCTCTCTGTTTTCTTTGTGTGCTGAACATCTGTGAGAGTCCCCCACCCCACAGAGCTATTTGGTTAACAACTGCCCAGCTAACATAAACAAGCTCAGACCCTGTGAGCACAAACAAATTGTGCACAGCTGTACAGACGTCATGGACAACTCCAGCTCCTGGCTCTCCCGTGCAGGGTGAAACACCCAGCGGAGCAGGAGGGCCAGGCAGAGCACAAGGCAAAGCTTCTCTCTTCTTGATGGTGCCCACTTCCTGCATCCACATGGAGGATCCCAAGACAAACTGAGCAATGGCCACGTTAATATTTGTGTGGGGCTTCTCCGGCTTGACTTAACCAACTAGCTCAGTCAGCAGCAACAGCCCGAATGTGGCTGCACAGGACCCAGGTGACCTGTTTCACCCTCCCAGGAGAAGGGACATGTCCCATGTTCATGAGGTCTAGTCACTCATTTCTGAATCACTTCTCTGGATCTGCTTCAGAGACCTGCTGTTCTCCATCTCGTTGTTCACAAGCACTGCTGGGAGCTATAGCTGTGCCTGTTTCAGTCCCAGAGTGCTCAATTTCAAGAGTTTTCTACCACAGACACAAGAAAGAAGGAAGGAGTAGGAAGATGGGTAAACATTAAATGTCTTTATAGGCAAAATACCTGGAAAGTAACTCCCATGTCATAATGCTTTATTTGCCTATAGCCTCTCTCTTTTGGCAAGAACTCATACGGATCATCTGGAGAGCCCCATCTAACCTCAGATGCCAAATTCTCAGATGATGCTTTCACTTCAATAGACGCCCCTAGGGGCATTTCACCAGCAAGGTGATTCTGTTCCTGCAACATCTGGCAGCTCTTTACGGTTTTCCATGCAAGTGAAAACACTCCTACTTACCTTGGCTGCATTTAATTATAGATAACATTCCTCTGCTAATGTCAGGCTAGTAAAAGGAAATCCTCCAAACCTGATTTGAGCAAATTCTATTTTTTTTAAGATTTTTTTAGAACTTTATCAAACATAAAACAATCTGGAGAACTCTAGAGGCTAGTAAAAGGAAATCCTCCAAACCCAATTTGAGCAAATTCTATTTTTTTTTAAGATTTTTTTTAGAACTTCATCAAAAGCAAAACAATCTGGAGAACTCTAAATATTATTTGCTGAACTCACACAGCTTTTTGTTTTTTCTTTCCTAGTTTTTATCTGCAGCGTTTGCAACTAGAAGATTGAGAACTGCAAAAAATATGTATTTTTTGTGTTTCCGAAATGAGAAAAACAAAAAGGCCAGCAAAAGGGTTGTTATCACTGTGAGTCTGGGGGCCTTGGCACGGCCCGGACATGGTGCCATCACAACTAAGAGGCCAGGGGTTCTGTTTAAACGCACCGTTGGGGTTGTAGCAGTAGGCATCCCATCTCTCGCTCCTGTTGAGGCGGATCCCGTAATCTACAATACCGGTCCTCCCAAAGCCACAGTTGGCTCCAGCTTTTACTATGGGATAACCAACTCTGCCCTTCGCCATCCAGCCAGCCGCACACACGTGGAAACCTGAGATGGAGAGAAAATGAGGTATGGATGCCACAGATTAATCCTAAGCAACACACTGTGCTTTATATTCAAATAAATAATGGCTCACTGATCAATGACTTGGATGGAATTGGTCTAATAGAAATTGTACTACAAGAGAGAAACAGTTTTTTGAATGGATGATTTTAAACACAGGAGGTATTATGTTCTGCACTGCATGATTATTGGGTAGTCATTTGAAAAGGAAAATCAGATGCAGATGGACTACACAGCCTCTAGGGCAGTGAATTTTAAGTACTTCACCAACGTTTGTGATCAAATTATACATTGGATTAATTATATAAGTGAATAAATTGTGTTTGTTTCTCTTTTGAAGTCATATACGTTCATTCATTCATATCTTGTCTAAGAGTCTGCTGTATTAAGTTCTGAGGAGGAGCAAAATGCTATATACAGGGGACAGCTAGGGAAACTATATACTTCCTTAGAATACTTACAGTTTAAATGTAAATGCCTGAAATATGCACTTCCTTGCAAAACAAAAAAAGATGCTGTTAGTGCATTGTGTGGCTGAGGACTTGGAAACAATATCCAAGGAATGCACTGTTATTCACTGTCTGGTAGGGACCGACTCCATGGTTTCACCGAGACAAACTCGCGCATAGTTGTGGCGTGCCAGGACTGCGAGCTCCTCGGAGGAGACACAAGCACCCTTTCTACATGTGTGCTGCTGCTGAGTGCCAGCTTGTGACTCAGGCCTGCATATTTCCAGAGCAGAGGATATTTTCCATTGTTTTCCTAATGCTCTGAGTGAGTTAATCATTCTTCAAAGGGAATCGAACAGAAGGACAGTAGTGTCCTCTCTGAGACAGGCTTTCCTCTCCCAGCACACCAACCACCCAGCCTTGGAGCAAACAGGCTCAAACAAACCTTAGGAAAACACCCTGGCTGCTTAGATGAGAAAAGAACAACTCTCCTTGTCTAGGAAAGCTCCCTGGGGACAAATGCCCTGCCCTGCCGCAGGGCAGGGGGAGCGCTGGGCAGCTCCCACTCCTTCCCAGCTGCAGAAGATGGATCTCCGCTCCGTATTCCTGCTTTTCCAGGAGTGCCACATGCAGAGCTCAGGCGTGCTGAGCACTGTTAGCCCTGACAGCTCTGTCGGTAGCACAGACATGCTCCGTTACTGCAGGGAGACACCGCGTGCAGCTCAGGCAAAAATCCAGGGAGTTTATAAGTCTCACAGGATTCATAACGTTCATGCAAATGACTGACTGGTAACACAGTGAGCAACGTGAAATGCAAATGGCTGTTTTTTTCAAACCTATTTTTCTCGCTGCCTCCAGCTGCTGGTAGGTGGCTAGATGTCCTCCTTCGTACTCGCAGACGGCTTTTGCTTCTGCATAGGTGAGCTGGTACTTCCCAGTGCGGGACTCCCTGTGGTACACTCCAGCTGCTCGTTCTGGGGAGCAAAGGGAGAAATCAGCTCAGGAGCGTTTTATTTCTGGAATGCAGCTATGGGATCCCAGCTGACCTACCTTCCTGCAGGATGTCAAGTCTCACAGCTTCAGCAGTTTCCCAAGACCTTCACCTTGGGCTACCATCCAGGTGAGAATAGAAACAAGATGTTCTCCTAGTAGCTGAATTACACAGAAGTGTCAGGAAAATACGCAACACGAAGATGTGTTTCTGGTTGGGAGAAGTTTCTGAGCAAGAGCTGGTCAGAGATTTGGGGCACGCTTTTGAAAAACAGAAAATCAGCAACCACAGGGAAGGAGTCCCATAAGAATACTCATAAAGGAGCAGTTATGGGAACCATCAGTGGTTCAGTATCTCTACATCTGTGGGACTGTATCAAACTCCAGGGAAACTCTTTCTGGATTGCTATTACAGCATACTTTTGGATATAACTTAAAGTGCTTTTGTAAGATGAATCAGAGCTTTGTTTTGAATCTCCAGAGAAGTTAAATGAGAGCTACTTGGATAGAAGAGAAGCAGAAATTAAAGGGAATAAAAATGTGAAATAAAAATATCTGTTCTTGCCTCTCAAAGACCAGAACAATTGTTGGCTGACATTTTTGCTACACAGAAATTTAATACACTTTTTTCATATATCTTTTTTTTGCCGTTTAAAGTCCAAGATATAGCATCTTTACAGGAAGAAACTAGAAACTGTCAGTAATATCACAGGTTTTGTGTTTTTTTCCATGTTTCACTTGTCTGATGCCATATGCACGGAAATCTGTCTCAATACCAATGTGCAAAGCTAATCTGATTTTTTTATATATTCAGTATAATCTGAGAAAAATGTCTGTCTGCAGCTACCATTAAGCAACATAACTGTAAAAAGAAGCAAAATAGGAAGCATTTTTTTACAGTACTTATTTGCACCATGGGAAAAAAAGAATGTCTCTTCTAGTGACTCTTTATTCTACTGAATCTACTTAGAATCAGTACTTTTGGCCATGTTAGGATACTTTAAAAAACGTTAACCACTGAATTGTGGTTAACTACGACGAGATCCTTATTAGATACAGAATGACGTCTGCCAATGTAGTTTTTGGACCCACAGCCATTGGACTTGCTCCCAATCAAGTAAATAATATTGTTGACAGTAGTCTCAGAAGACAGAGAGTTCTTGTTGTAACACAGCCAAAAACGCCATTGGCATGGGCAAAGAATAACATATATTCTGCGGAAAGATCTTTCTAAGAAGCCAAGGTAGTTCCAGTGCAAAAAACTGTCACAATAGCAAACAGCTATAGAATAATTGTATGGTATGTTCAAAATGTATCTTTCAAAACCAAAATTTCTTTTGTAGAAAGTATATTGTTCACTCACATAGTGATCTACCATTGTTAGCCCAATAAATCCAGTCACTTTCCTTTCAGTAAAATGTCATTAAATTCAGTATGCATGAACTGAAGATCTAAATATTAAAAAAGCGCACAATTTTGCCTCACTGCACACTCAGGGAAGAACCTGGAAATGAGATTACTGATCTGCAGCTCTGTTGGGATTAGCTAAACTGTCCCATCTACACTGAGTCGCAGGAGAAGGCCCTTCACTCCGAGCTTTCTTGAGTGGCAGAGGCGATCAGTAACTGCTGAAGTAAAAACAGTCTTGAAGATTATTCTAAGTGATAGTTGCTGATAAAAGCTCTTATAGTTCGGGCAGCAAGACCTGGATGTAGCACCCAACATTCAGGGTGAATCACCAACAGTTCGGACTTGCAACCCACAGTAAAAACTTTGCATTTGCAGTTGTCTCTCATTGACTTTTTCTTCTGGTAATAGTGTTTTGAAGTCTTGTCCCTCAAGAGGTGTCTATCCCTATTTACTGATGCTAAAATGTCAGGACATCACTGCTCCGTTTTCCAAAGTTTTGCTAGGCAGATTTGCCTGTTGTAGTTTCTATGAAGGCTTTTACACTGGTAGCAGCACCACTGAGTCTGCAGTCTGGGTGTTCTGCTGGTGGTGTTACCCTGCTGAGAGCAATCGCTCATCTGTATCTGTAACTGAATTAACAGGGACTTCTCCCCCCAGTTTTTCCTCTGGTTCTTACACAAAAGAACATGGCTTACAGGCCTGAAAGGACATGCTCCTCCCAGCTCCCACTTCCTAAAATTTCTCCTTGAAGTCCAGAGACAGCAGGATTCTGCAAGAGTGACCCTCCAGTCACCCACAGCAGTAGGTGAGATGAAAACGGAGCCAACCTCTTCTGCACAAAGACAAAAAAAATATGAGATATGGCCTAATAAAGTGCCATCAATATGCATGACACACAGTTATATAATAAAGGACAAATAGAAGTACTTAACTTCAAAGTGAGGGACTGTCATGTACAGTTTTTGGATAACTCATGGTCCCCCTCAGAGCACTTCACTGAACAGTGTGGACGTGGCCCAACGCGCACACAGGGTCCCTACCCCTCCCTGGCACTTGGTGTGTGAATGGGCACAGATTTGGGAACTCAGGAGCATTTCCACATGCTTGTTTCAAAAATGAGCCCCAATAGTATTCCATTCAAACAAGAGAGACATTAAGGGAAATAGTATCTATTCAGCTGCAGCAGGATTTTGTATTCTGTGAGAAAACAAAAGATGTTTTGTATCACAGAAATAAGGTTAATGGCATGGACATTCCTAGCCTGACCTTAATTGAAGACTTGATATTTGTTTGAATGGTTTGTTGAGGAAAAAAGGTAAAATGGAAACTCCCTTCATTTGCAGGCTGGTCTTGACAGTGCTTTATCAGCAGAAGAGAAGATAAGGAAAGCTCAAATGTCACTGCGCATTCCTAGGCTTTATCCTGGGGAGATCTTGCTTGTGCATAGTTACTTTGAGATTGAGTTTACTCCTTTTATTGTTCAAATTATATATATATATATAATTTTAATGCAGAGATGCATAAAATGGATGGCGGTGATTTGGCATTTTTTCTTCATTTATACATAACTGCACTGAATTCCGTTAATTAACTGCAACATTTTGTTACAGTAGTTTTATTGAAGTACTTTGTATAGAGAGTACATTTTTAAAGGCGTTCCAATGGAGTCCTAGAGCTGTGAAAGCAGAGTGATTATTTTAAGTTATACACTGCGCTTCCAAATTTTGCATGCATTTGTTTATTTGCAGCAAGTGTAATTTTTACCCTTGTCCTTCCTGCAAAGTGCAACTGCTTTGGTGGCTGGTATCCTCATCATCACACCACGTTCATGCTGCAGCGGCCAGGGCAGCTCTGGCATGAGTGGCCACGTGCACATGCCAGTGTTTGCCATAAAATGCCCCGTGCCCGTGGCCTGGCCGTGCGTGCGAGTGGCTCAGGTCCCTTTCCCCAGGGTCCCTGGCCCTGCTCTGCTTGGCTGGAGGAGATGCAAAACGCTCTTTGCTGTGAAGACACAGCCTGTACCAAACAGAGAGGAACGGGAGGCCTGGCATCTCCCTTCCCCCACTGGCCTGACCACATCCTTTCTGTCTGAGAACACCCATCACAAACTACCAAATTCAGCTTCTCTGTCCCTATTATCTTAACACAGCTTCAGCCCTATTTATCTTCTGCGCCTCCAGCCAAGAGCAGGGGCTCTGTGTTTGTCACCCTCTGCCATCCCTGTGCGAGCACTTCCTCCTCGTGGCGGGGCAGGACGGTGCCAAGCTGCCCTCGCTCAGAGCCCTCTCCTATCCAACACCTTCAGTAACTGCAGGACGCAGCAGGCGTGCTCCAAGCTGAGAGGGAAAGGGAAGTAATTAAAAAAGTGCAATTAGCTGGAAAATACTACAGATCAGTTTCCTTCTCATTCACATTCCTTTCAGCTGACAGAGTCCTCTGAGGAGAGCCTGGATTCACGTGGTTGTTATACCAGCTAATAGAGCATGGTCTCGATTCCTGAGGCATCTGAGCACTGCAGTAATGGCTATGGCAACTCCTTAAAATTCACAGAGAAATGTCCAATATTCCAAAAACAATAAAGGAACTTATAAATATTTGTCCACAAAACAGACCACTCATTGCATATATTTATTTTGACATATTGCATGGGAATGTTTTGATTTTTTGTTTTAGTTGGATTTAATAATAATAATAAAGAACTCTGAAAGAATTCTAGGAGCTATTTAAACCCACTTAGGGTATAAGAAACTATTGCCACGGCATTTGTATAGTCCCTTTGGATTTTTTCTCCACTATTTAATGATGTGAGCAAATGAATGGGCAAAGCAGACACATTTCCGTATTTTCCTAGAAACCTAGGAAATATTACTGCTATTATTTCCAGATCATTTAGTTTCATATGTAGGACCCCAGGCATCTGAAGCATGTTCATGCAGAAACTAATTCATTCCTTTGGCAAATGTTTCTTTTCATACCCTTCTTTCCTTCATTAGAAAGAACTAATATTCAATGCTGCTTTCACTTAACTTCATGCTTCAGCAAATCCACTTAGACAAAATACTCCATTACTATGTTTGCTTGCACATCAGATTAACAGTAAAAAACAGTAAGATTGTAAGGATAAAACTTGCAGGCATAAATCAGATAAATGAAAACCAATTTCAATGCAGGATTTTGCTTCTTTTAATGCATGCTTTTATATTACTGGCGGTTCATCTTTATATTGTTAGAGAAACACAGTGATTTTTGCAGAAAAAAGATTCACAATGAAATTCTTTCTTACCTAACCAAATAGAATTATGCAGCACTCCGTCCTTGAATCCCCATGCTTCAGCCTTGTCCCACAGCAGGACAGAAAAGAAAATTAGTGCAATCATGTCTTCCGATTAGCCGTAAATACTCTCTGTTAAAACACTCAGGGTAACCTCTGCTAGCAGCTGGCTAGATTCTGCTGGAACATCTGGTAGCCAGATCTTAAATAGCGCTTTCAGCTGTGAGGTCAGCGAGGCTGCTCCAATTGTGTTTGCTCTAGTAGTATTACACAATTAACTGTGAGGTCTGGATTCGTCCATGTGACTCACTTTTGGCTTTCTTGATTCCCAGTGTGTCCAAGGAATCATTCTATCCCTAACTACTGGAGCACACACGAAAACTTTTTGAGCCAAATCTGTTCATTCTTCAGCAGTCACTGTCTTCAAATTCCACAGAACAGTAAGACTAATAACCAGTCTAGCTGCATGTGATGCTTCTACTCGCACGATTTACAGAAATGAAGAGAATCACGCATACCACTTTGCAGTCTCATTTAAACATTCTGTTCTTTCATATGTAATTTGAATTTAATTTCATAGTGACCCAACCAGTTAAAAAGTGTCACGATAATGCTTTGCCTTGGGTATTTGAATTCAATTTCCTCACATAAAATCTGTAATTGCAAGTTGAAACTCCTAAGTTTTTCAAGAACAGCATAAAACTTCAAGTGCCAAAAACAGATGCTCTTTGTTATGTGAGTGGGAACTAAAGCTAAAATCTTTCCCTCCAAACCCACTTTAGGATCTGATTCATAGCATGACAGCTGTCTGCCTGTCTTCCCTTCTGGCTGAAAGTGAATCCTGCAGCTATTCCTTGGTATGGGTGGGATGAGTGGGAAAAGAGAAAGGGGGAAGAATGAGAGTATGGAAAACTGTCTGCTGCTCCACATTCCTGAGCAATCATTGGAAGACTCTGCTGCCCGGTTCTGATAACATCTGTAATTTCCAAGTTCTGGAGAAAGATACCAGATACGCTTATGACCATGAGCATGATAAAGAGCACAGTCTAGTTAAAATAAATGAAAAGCCAAAAATGGAACGGGAAGGATGGAGGACTCAAAACATTAACATTTAGTGTGTCATGGAGGAAGAGAATCCTCCCCACACCAGGTTTAATGTAATGTAATGAACCTATAGCACACACACACATTTATTCCTCCCACCTCCACTACAGGCAGACCCTAACTGAGAAGGGAAAGCTGTGAGGAAGTGGAGTCAAGAACCCTTCTGTTGTATCAGACAGAAAAGAAGGTAACCTGCACGAAAATGTCAGCATCTTGACCTATCTTCTTCAGTACCCACTGGTGCCAGCAAGCCAGTTCTTGTGGTGAGGTTCACCTACCCATCCGTTCCTGGGGGACATGTGAGTGCTTCACACATACAGGTTTGAACCCCGGGTGCGCAGCAGCAGCTGCACGATAGCTGTACGTCCCACAGCTCCCGATGACACCGACGTGCCCTGGGATTCCCAGGCCTGGCAGCGGGATGGAGGGGCCCAGTGGACACGTGCACTGGCGTTATTTTAATGCTAAGATATGATGAGTCCCATTTTTTGAAAAAAAAAACATTATTCTGCCAAAACAGTTGGTAGAAATCCATTGCTTTCCACACGCTGGTATCCAACACAGGTATATGAGCTCACCTGGGGTATGAGTTGTGAAGGTGGCAGTAGCATTTTAGAGGGGTGACAAATGAAGAAGACAGTGCGGAGAGCTTTCCTCTGTATATATTCATGGTGTGTTCCAGGGACCTAGAAATAATAAAGGTGAATGAAAGTACGAATAGAAAGAGAAAATGAAAATCTGACAGTAATATCATGTATCAATAAGCTAAAAGATAAAGAACTTCTTCAGATGAATAGAATCTCCTTAGATTGACACTAACATAGACTGACACTAAATTTTTTTCTTTCAGAAAAGAGAATTGTGTTGTGAATGTCCTTTGCACAGGTCACTTTTTCTCCCTACCCTTTCAAATGCCTCTGAATTTGAACATGAGTTGGTATTTCAGTGATTTTATATCAGAAGTAGATGTCTACACCACAGGGTGTTGTTCTGTTCCGGTGGGCAGGAGCCAACCCCATAACACCACAAAAATGTGTTAATAGCAACTAACTCATGAAAGCAAGGAGCGCATCCCCTCCAAAGGTGATTTGTAATGGACAACAGCGGTGAAAGGCTGGAGGCAGACACACATGCAATAACAAATAACAAATAAAAAGCTGGGGTGTTTTTTTGACTATTACTGTCAAAGGACTCAGTTTGGAAAAGTAACATTTAATAAGGGACATATGACAAACAGTTCTGATAATAACTGTATTTGATGGTATCTCTTTTGGTATGGGCAAATTCTAATATTAATTATATGTAATAAAGCGTATCTCTCTGGAAAGATAATTCATTCCCTAGTATTCATGTATTTCTTTCCGGAGAATCTATGCTATCTGTTACTATTTCCAAATAAATACAATGGCTTAGGAATTATAGAATATCTAAAGTTAGAATGGACCTCTGGAGGTCATCCAGTCCTGAGGTTAGGATACTGATGTCTGCCATAATATCCTCCGAACAGCCCCTCAAATGAATGAATTTCATCCTTTATTAGAAGTTAATAACAGTTTTACAGGGTTCAGTATATGTTTTTTAGCGAAGAGTAATTTAGTTATGCTGAATATGCTGACATCTGAGGAAAAAACCTAATATTTGCTAGTGTTTTGCATTAAGCATATTGCCCAGATTCAACCTAGACATAAATCTGTGTAGCTCTCAGTGTCAATAAAGTGATACATTCAGTCTATACATCTGGCTCCCAAGTGAGTTGGAAAGGAAAATTGTCATCTGCAAATTGTAGCAGACCTCACCAAGAGAGGAGATTCCACAGCTGGACGTGGGCACGCTGAGACATTAATCTGACAGTATTTTCTTAAGTTTTCTTCCAAGTTTTCTACATTTAAATATATCCCAGACATATCTTAAATGAAACATGCAGATTTTCAGTGGCCTTTTCTTAACTCTTTCCACGCTTAGGTATGCTAACAACCCCGCTTGCCTAGTGTGTGAAGCCAATACCTAACTCATTAGTTCTCGAGGTGGTCTGAATCCCCCTGGCAATCCCTGATGCCACAGCAATGGGGACGCATGGCAACTATTACATAATGAAAATAGTGGCTTTTCCACTCTGGTTTAATGATGAGAAGAGCCAGAAAGAATCTATCAATTTGACTGTGATTATATGAAAAATACGGGGACTGCTGGTCTGCTACCTGCTGGGCTACAACAGGTCTGGTCTATGAATTTTGTTAGCTGTCAGTCTTCCAGGCAGAAACCATGATTGCTTCGAGGGGAAAAAATGGCAGGAGAACAGGGAAGTATTGGGGAAAACAGTGTAAAAAATAAAGTAGAACTACTCTGGAAATTGATCACAACAACAGCCAAGAAAAGCAATCCAGGGGCTTAGCGGATGAACCACTGGGGATGAAGGATTTTAAAGGATACCAGTGGTGTGTGCTGGGAGACAAGGCTCTTCCACATTGATTTAAATACTAAGCACCTAAACTTTCTCAGCTCTCTTCTATTTTGTTAGCAAATGAAAATGAAAGTATCTACACCTTTTGCATACTAAGATGTATTTTACTATAGGTACTATAGAATACATTACAATTATACTGTAGATAGTTTTGAGAGTGACATCATGGTAGTGTATTTAAATGGAAAGGCAAGCAGAGAAAAGCCTTTCATTAAAAGATCTTCCAGCAAGAATCCACAATCCCTTTGCGGAAAAAAAAAAACTACATGGTGAAAAATATAACAAAGAGAAGTGCAGTGAAAAGTGGGGGGAAAAAAACCTAAGCTTTTCAAAAATACTTTATTATTTTATTTTATTTGATTTGATTTAATAATTCTTCCTATTTTTCATTAACTGATTTGTCAAGGTAAAAGACAAAGGATTATCCCAGACTCAAGGAACTGCAAGGAGACCTTAAGATTTATCATACCCCAACCTTCTTCCACATGGCAGGAATAATTACATCAACATTATTTATAGTTACTTATCTAGCCTATTCCTCAGAACTTCTAGTAATGGATATTCCACAGCCTCTTGGTGCTTAACTCTTCCCGATATTTTAAACATCTTCTAAAACAAAACATTTTCCACTAGCCAAAATCTTCCCTCTGGCAGTTTTAGCCCACTGCTTCTCTCTGCTACAGCAGACTAAGGGACTTCTTCGTAGCAGGAACATTCTAAAAACAAACAGGCCCTTTTCCATCCTTCCCCTAGGTCATATTTTCTAGACCCCTGATCAGTTTTGTTCCTTTCTCCTGTATTCTTTCCATTTAGGCTGCATCCTTCTTGAAGCGCCATAACAAAACCAAACACAGAACTCTAACAAAACACTTTTTGCAGTATCAAATAGTGCTGAACTGTAGCATATATTTTCCATATGACATCTTTTTTTACACAAAATCCCAGTTTGCTGTTTGCTGTTAATGAGATTGCCTTTAAAAAATAACCAGCAATATTTTCGAGTATCTATTTCCTCTAAACTACCTTTTCAAACAACATGCCTAAAGCATGTAAATGAAAATGAATTCAAAATAAAAGAACTCAATGAGATTTGATAGGCCTACATGAATATATTAACTTGCTTTTCCAGTCTGCTTTTTTTAAATATATTTTCTGGTTTTAGGTCAAGCTGACAAGAGTTGTAGAAATGTGTGTTCTGAAAAAGAGCTGATGAGACTCCATGTTTTGGGCTAGTAAGAACTTACTCCCTGAAGAATTTATAAAACAGGTTTCCTAAGTTGTCACACATTTATTGCACTAGAGGGATAGAAAAAAACAATTTCTAAGCAAAAACTCTTAACTCTTTCTGCCCTCTATATGCTTCACATGATGCCAATTTCGAAGAATTCTATAAAATGAGAATGTACTTGGCCAATTATTTTACTATTTATTGTCACATCGTTAATTTTATTTTTAACAGAGTATTTTGTCTCATAACTTTGTTTTTTAAACTTATTCTCTTTTGTCTTCCAGCCTAATTCTTATTGAACTCAATGCCCATTTTATCAGTGATTTCAATGAGATAAGAATCAGTCTGCATAATGGTACTTTAGTTTAAAAAAGAAAAGCAAATGGAAAACTTCATGTGAAAGCACCAAAAGCATTTGTGATAATTAAGAGCAGATGTTAGGAGAGTATAATAGATTCACTTACTAAGAATATCTGAACATTTGCCAAGTTAAAATATTTGTTAGTTGAAGTCCTATATTAACAGTAATTCCAAATAAAATAATTGGGCCTATCACAGTTAAAAAAAAATAGACCTACAATTTACAAGAGTTTTATGGAT